GACAGACAGACAGACAGACAGACAGACAGATAGACTGCTTTTACAAAAGAGAAATAAAATACTTATGCTTAATAAACAAAAAAAATGCACATCTAAATCAAATCAATTATTCTACGAGCAAAGTTTTACTGAAGCTTGTCAGAGCTCTAAGACAGAGATGATGGCTTCTGAAATAAAGTTGTTTCAGCAAATAAGTCTCATATTGAATTATTTGGATGTGTTTTGCAAATTACAATGTTCCAGATAAATAACTTCAATGGTTTTCTCTAGAAATCATTTATGTATGTATATATATATTTATGTATGTATATATATGTATATATATATATACTGTAAATAAACATTGTGAAAATCTACCCGTGACTGGGTACTAAGTTTATATATATGTTTCAAATATAAATAATGATGTTCTAATTTAGGGGGAATGCATCTGTATTAGTGTTTTGTGCAGCCAGATGAATCCTAAGTGTTTCTGTATCATATTACAGTGCACAAATAAATAAATAAATAAAAAACTTTGTTGTGTAATTAGCTAGAATAAGAATTGGCCTTAGAAATTCAGAACAATATTAATTAAGTTTAAAAAAAAAAAAACATATTATCTTTAGATAAACAACATGTTTGACACTGAGGGAAGAGAGGAAATATGCTTGACACACCTCGCAGTTATATTTTAAATAATGGTTTCACACCTGATTAACCAAAGATTTGAAGAAGCAGACAGTTATATTTCAAAGGCGTTCATTTAAAAGAAAGCTTGCTTTTTGGTCTACTAAGTAATGTAACATTTCAAAATAAGAAGGGAAATAAAATCGGATCTGATGTCTATCCATTCGATCTGTCTGAAAGGTGAACCAAAACTTAAAGTGTTTACTGCAATTTAACTGTTGCAAGACAAGAACATGTACATTTCAGTAAAAGTCTTTATTTTGAAATACAGTTTACTCAAATAATAATCTGATAGTAAAACCTATCTGTACTTTAATGCCACATTGCATCCAAAACATTGTGCAATTTTTGTCAATTCATATAAAAAAATATTTTCATTTTCTGTAGAAAACAGGATAGTATGCGATGAAATATCATTCAGCTGCGTTTTACTTCAACACACATTAAAAAAATTATCTAAACCTCTGAAGCTGAAAAAGACAATAAGTCAAATCCATCTTGAGAACTTAACTGCCTTCTTCTATAAACCTGACATTAATGAAGCTTTAGCAATGTGAGGCACTCACCTATACCTGTTTGTAACTTAATTTTATGTACCCTGTGATGATGCAACATAAATTACATGCAAAACCCTGAATGGAAGCGTTAAAAATGAGCCTCCCTCTTAAAGTCCTACTGTCAGAGAATAGACGATACTTTCTTTTCCTCAGTTGTCTTTCAATTCACCTCTTCAGTGTATATGAAAAATATAAAGAATGTCTGATATGTTTCAAAGCGGATCTTGGTGAGATAGTTAGGCAGTGATGGGCATGTTGTCCCTGTAGCACGCTTGCCTCTGGGGAACACTATAGCTGCACAAGTCCTGGTAGATTCGAGCCATCTGTTCAGTGGCCACGTCGTCGCTCATCTCAATGCTTGAGTTGCTGCTGTAAGGCTGCGAGCGACGCATGTTCAGGGAATCCAGCATGTGTTGGCAGTTCACCATGGTAATCTGTTTTCAGAGGCAAATGGAGAAAAGTTGTTTTTGTCAGATGAAGATGTCAACAGTTCAAATTCTCTTTTGTTTGGTTAATGGTTTACAGGTCTTACCTGCACAATGATCAGCTTGTTTTTTGCACTGCTAAGGTCAATCAGTTCCTCTCCAAAACAGAGTGTCACTGACGGATCAGGAGCAGAAATCTGACCTTCTTGATAGAGCTGCAACGCTGTAACATTAACAACAAAAAAGAAATTAATAAAGGGTTACTTTCTTATTACTCCTCTACCACGTCATGGCTGGATATAAGAATGTTAACGAAGGTTGTTAACTTTCATTAGGTTTCCAAACATTGTGGCTCACCTTGAAAAAACTTTCCTGTGTCAAAAATCTTGACTACAGAATCCCTCTCCAGTTTCCCAGGCATGGATCCGTACTGGGAGCTTCCATCCCCCAGCCCGCTCCAAAAGACCCGACTCTGACACAGCCTCTTGATGAAGATACCCTCTTGGTTTGCACGCACTAGAACACCTCTCTCCAGGTGACCCATCAGCTTGCGGGTGACATAACGCTGCCGTTCATACTCTATAAGCTCTGCTGGGGGGAAGTGAACACTCTGCATGCTGTCTGAACTGTAGGGGGCGCCACGACCCAGGTGCTGCTGGGGGGAAATCCTGCAGCCTTCTGGATGAGAAACCACTGTGTTGTACATCAGCTTCCCTCCATAGTAGAAAGTAATCATCAACTGGGAAAAAGCTACAAAAATGAAAATTTGTTTAGAAATAACAGAAAATACAATAACGCTGGTTTTGATCCATAGATTAGAGAATGATTTTTGAAGATAAACTGTTCTCATACCTGAACTGAGGTTGCCAGATGGCATTGGGTCCTGATGCAGAGGGAAAGCTAGAAATAGAAAAAAAGGAAGAAATAGTTTAAAGCCTGCGGACTCAACCTCATCATCATGTCTGTCCTTTGCTGCATCATCAGAAATAACATTTGCTTAGCACGATTTACAGAGAAATAATCACTTAAGTCAGCAAAGTTAAACAGGATATTAGTCAACTGTTCCATTGCAGAATCTAACAGACCAACAAGCAAACATTTTGTGTCTAACACCCACAGCAGCTGGGACAAGGGCTGAGCTTTCCACTGGGGTTTAGTTTAATGAAAGAAAAAAGTCATTGTCCTACAAATAACATTAACAGCCTTACAAAAAAAGCAGACAAATGGTTGCAGTAACAACACATGTTAAAGTGTATAAGTAAAAAAGAAATCACGGCGAGTTTTACCATTGATGCTGCCCTGAGACCAATACTCCGGACTTGCCTGAATGCTGCAGCCATCCTCCTGCAAAAGAGGCAGATTTTAGATTACATTGCTGTTGCTATAGAACAAAGGGAAAGAGTATGCATACTTAGCGCAACAAGTGTGAAAGAAAGAAAAGGCCGTGAAATACTGAAACAGAAAAAAGTGTGATAAAGCTGAAAAAAAAAATGAAGAGAGGCGATGGACTTTATAGACCCAAGAAGCAAAAGCAATCTTGAGGATGAACTCTTTCAAATCAGAGACGTTTTCCGTACCTCTTTAATGAGCTCCTCTATTTCTGCAGGGCTGCAGTCCATGTCTGTGAGGTCACCAGAGCTGGTGGGACCTGTCATGGGCATCACTGCTACTTTGCCATCTGAGGGTGAAAAAAAGGCGATTCCTTCACTATTGCATTGAAAGACTCATTATACAAAAGCATGAAATGTGAGCAGGTCTAAAGAGAAACCTACGCTTTTGCTCATCTTCGGGCACAATGCGATACACCTTGTAGGGCTCGGAAATGTCCAGCTGTGACCTTTCCGTCACTTCCTCAAAGTCAGGGCTTTTATTTAGGGCACAGCGGAGTCTGGTCTTCCATGTAGCCGGCTCAGCCTTGTCCCCCTCCTTAAACTTGCCTTTAAACACAGCCCAGGCCTGTGGAGGGGAATGGATAAAAAATGAAAAGATGAAGACAAAGAGAAAGAAAGAAAGAAAGAAAGAAAGAAAGAAAGAAAGAAA